GTAACTACATAAACATATGAAGAGTAAAAATAATTGATGTAAGTGTTAAAAAGAAAAATATAACATTCCTAAATTTTGTAACATAAATAAAAGAAAGTGAAAAATACATTCCTAAAATCTTACGATAAATAAATGAGAAAAAAAAATACTATTTAGGAAATAATCAAATTGTCTTCAATTCTTAAAACCTAAGTCTAAGTTAAACAAAAGAGAAATGTCTTTTTCAAGAGGTAATCAAATTGTTTCCAATTATTTATTTATATTTATATCTATCTATCTACACTATATTAAAAGCACGAAGGCCCTTAGCGAAATATCGTTCGCCTTTTTTACCCTTTAAAAATAGACTTTAAATTGGACAAAATTGTCATTGTAGTTTAATCATTTACCTAATATTTTGGACTTTAAAGTAAGCAAATTTATTTATTAAATCATTCTTAATTTAAGCTATATAGAAACTCATAATATTTAGGAATCTAAATTGAGTAAAATTTTACTTATAAATATTTTTTCCTTATTTAAATGGTGTAGCTATTTTCCTCAAATTGATCCTTTCATGTTTACAAGTTTTAAATACGTTTGGAATTGTAACGAGTTTTGCAATTTTTTGTCTTCATTTTAATTTTGTAGGATTGAACACGTACTAGGGGTGGACGCTCGGGTAGTTCGGATTGAATTTAAACTTTCGGTTTGGATTTTCGATTTTCGGATTGAAGAAATGACAATCCAAATCCAATCCAAATAAGTTCCGATTGGATCGGATTTTTTAAATTCGGATTCGGATTAATCGGTTTGGATATTTTGGATTTTCGGTTTTGAACTTACAAGTTGAGATGTTTCTTCTTTTTACAAAAATGAATATCCAAATGAAGTACTCATGTTAAATTACCTGAAAAGTTACTCATTCTCACCGGAATCATCCAAATAAAATATTCAAGTAATGAAATTATTGTCAAGAAAATACAACAAAGACATTAATAGCCTGATAAGAAGTAGCAATAGTAAAACCATATTCAAAATAAAAATTATTCTGACAGTAACTTAGTAATTAATAGTGAATATATGAGATAATTTCTAATGGGTAGGGTATCAAACTTATTTTCTACTGGCATATGGATAATAGACTAAATATAAAGTATAAAAATTTCGGATTTTCGGATATCCAAAAATTCGAAGTACCAAAGCCACTATCCAATCCGAAATCCAAAATTTTAAAAACTTAAATCCAAAATCCAATCCGTAATCCGAAAATCCAAACTAAAAATCCAAAAGATTTAGATTTCGGTTTGGATTTCGAGTTTGCCGAAACTATGCCCACCCCTAACACGTACAGTTCATTCATATATTTTGAAATCTATTTTTTTGTTGATTACTTTTTTGGATCATGTGAGTAGTGTTAATTCAATTTTTTTTATGTGCACAACGAGTTTAATCTAACTTATAAATTTGTAATTTTTAAATATAAATTATTTAATCATTAATGATGGATAACACGTAAATTATATTTTATGTTAGATAATAATTAGTATCATTTAATTATATTTTTAATATTAAAACTTCAAAATTAGCAAAATTTATGCTATTAATCTTTAATTATTTGAATTATTTGAAGGAAGTTCTAATATTTAGGAATTCAAAATTGAATAAAATTTTAAATTATATAAATTAGTTTCATATTAATATTGCGTAAAATAAATCTTCATTCAAACTCATACCAAAGAAGAAAAACAAAATTTTAAATTCAAATCCTTAATTATCAAGATCTAATAAAATTGTGAATATTGAATATCACCAAACTAAGCCGCAGTCGTTGTAATAGTTTTTCTTTGAATCAAATAATGACCGAGAATATTAAGATATATTGTCTTCTGCTTTGGTTAAAACATTCAATCAAAATTATTATATCATCAGTTCAAATGAGATAAATGAATTTGAATAGAATGACGAACAAGAAAACCAAAAACGACAAAGTCAACAAAGAATAAGTAAAAACTTATTGTTTGGATATATGTCGTTCGCCATTTTACCTTTTAAATATTGCTTTCACGTTGGACTAAATTGTTATTTAGGTTATTTTCCTAATATGTAAGAGTTTAAAATTTTAAAATATTTTGATTAATGATTGAATTGATCAGGCATGTAGGAACAAGGTTCAAGTCTACCGGGCATTCGTCATTTCACCTAGGTAAAAATTCCTAATATAACTCAAAATATATATAATCTCTAGCCCAATTTTTTGAGCTTTATAAATGTTTTTAAAATGTGCTACTTACCAAGTTGCCCCAATTATACCAGCTACTCAATTTTTCTCTTTCTCTTCTAATTTCATAATGCTTATGAATGTTCTTTATTATTGTTTGGTGATGAAATTAGTCCATTCCCTAATTGTAGTGATAAAAAGGTTAAACCTTAATGTTTTTGAAAGTGTACCCTTCCCAAACTAGAGAAAAAAAATAAGGAATACGAAGATTTGTCCAAAAAGAGTATTAACTAACATAACTCTAAAGTTACATGAGAAATTTATTATCATTAATAATCTTGAATTTATAATAAAAATATTTCAGCGTTTAACGAGTGATAGGGAGACTTGGTTGATAAGCGTCAATAACACTAACGATTCTGCATATACAACGGCTCAAAGTAAAATATTAGATGGATATTTTATCCTTTGAGAATATATTTTTATTGGATTAAATTATAATTACATTTAAATATTTAAAATTTTGGATGAGTTAATACTAAGAATTTGAATAAACATAAATTTTTTTAAAAATAATTAAATTATAAAAAAAATCAATTTACTTCTTTTTAAAACTATCCGTATATGAAAACTTATTATTCAAGTTGATAAAACTCATATGGTACAAAATTTTATTTCTACAACAAAACATTGGCAAAAATGAAATTGGAGATAGAGCAAAATCGATTATATCGAATTGGTGAAGTGCAAATTTGAAGCGATAANAACTCAACGGCAGAAAAACTACGAGAAAACAACAATAATAAGGCATTCGAGAACTTATATGAGGCTGATTACCTTTTTAAGTTCTTTTACAGCTCAAACATATCATATAGATATGTAAGATAGATAGAGAGATTTTTTTTTTCTTCAAAATTGTATATTCATAAATATAGGATACACGCGTAAAGCGCGTACCCTAAAACTAGTAATAAAAAAAATATCTAAAGAAATTACCCCTAATTGTGCAGAGCACAAAACAACAACAACAACAAATCTAGTGAAATCGCACACGTGGAGTCTGGGAAGGGTAATGTATACGTAGATCTTACCCTACCTTAGGAAGGAAGAGAGGTTGTTTCCGATAGACTCTGTGTAGAGCACATAGTACTTTCCAAATTTATATCAGAAAATCAACTATTTCTTGACTAAATTCAAGAATGACTTTTACCTTCCATCCCCAATGAGATTTTGAAAACTCAAGAAAATAGAGATTGAGAAATATCTAGTGAAGTTATGTTTCAGTAAAATTGCCCCAATAAACAGTTGCACTATTGGTTTTCATTACATGACAAGGTAATAACTGAAAGGTAAGTTAGGCTTATCTGATCAGTGCTCACCACCTTTGATGACAACCTTTTGAGGTTGATTGATTATCAGACAACTTATGTTTATGGGAATCTTGTCAAAAGACAAGTGAGAAAGTAAGATATTTGTATATACCTAAAGCAAAAGGGTAAAAAAGTGTACCTCTTTTCTATCCTAAATATATCTTAATTTTACGCTCCGTTATAAGAACTTATATACCCTTATTGTTAGCAAAACGTCTCGTATTTGTACTCGAGCCTAACAAAGTTACGACCTGAAGTATAACAAAGGTTAACTTTAGACCCATAGTCAAAAGTAGAGTGTAAATTTGGACCATTTTCCTGAGTTAATTTGACATGTTGAACCACCTAATCCACGCTAGAACTCCGTTAAAGTCAAGAACATCAAATACGAGGTGATTGGCTAATGGCAAGAATATGAATTGCCCTAAAATATAATAGATGATAACCACAATAACAACGACGACGACGATCCAGTAAAATCCCACAAAATGGAGTAAGCGGAGGGTAGTATGTACGCAGACCTTACCCCTACCCTGATGTGGTAGATAGGCTGTTTTTGATAGACCCTCGGTTCAAGAATATAACGGATGATAAACTTAAGATATTTTGTATAGTAGAGTAGTAAATTGTGACTTTTTCCTATAACCTATGTATAGTTTTCAGATGCTATTCCAAAGAGAAAACTATGATTGAATCCTATGCTAAAAAGATGAAGATGAAAGAGTGGGCTGAGGGACCTGGAATTATTGCCTTTTCTTTTTCTTTTAATATGTTTAAAATCTTAGTGGCAAGTTATGAGCAAGTCACATCATTGAAAAAGTGTAAATAAAGTAATCATGTTATATTGATCACTTACTTGATCTCAAAAGCACTTCACATTTTAGCAGTCTCCTAAGCATTATTGCTACTGTCCTTATCAAATCTCAATTAAAATCCAAAATAAACATGCCTTTTTATCCTTTTTCATATTTTCCTGATACAATGTTTTTGATCTTTGTTTGTATATATAAAGCTTAGGGTGCGGCCCTTCCCGGGACCCTGCATGAATACGGGATGCCTTGTGTATCAAGCTGTCCTATATATAATGCTATAAGGTTTAGGGTTTATAAACCCTAAACCCTAAGGTATCCTGATACAGTCAAACCTCTCTATAACAACCTCGTTTGTTCTGAATAATTTTGGATGTTATAACGAAGTGCTGTTATAGAGAACATATATTATAACATAATATGAAAATTGGTTCCGAAAAAGCTTGGCTTTCATAGTGAAGTGTTGTTATATAGGGATGCCGTTATAGAGAGATCTGACTGTACATTGTTTTTTATCTTTGTTTGTATATATAAAGCTTAGGGTGCGGCCCTTCTCTGGATCCTGCATGAATACGGGATACCTTGTGTACCGAGGTGCCCTATATATAATGCTATAGCCTTATAATCTTTCTCATTAAACCTTTTAACAAACTGAGTTTTAAGAGTTTTTTGTTCAATGGGGATCCCTGAATCTCCTAGTCCACCTCACTTATATCCTCAAGCACTTCAACTTAAACTTTATCAAGCTTTCATCTTCTCCATACCAATACTTTTTTCTATAATCTTGTTTCTTTTGTTTTACTTGTTTTATCTCAAAAGAAGGGCTTCTATTGGTTCTATTTCCCCTGCAACAGTTACAAGGAGTTCAACTCATGCTATTATTCATGTCAGTAAAAATCTCCTAGCTGATTAGTCTACGCTTGAATTTCATAATATTTCAAGAACCATAGTATACAAACTAAAAAATTGGTAGTTTGCTAATAGTTTTGTTATTTTGCAGGGTGAGGTAGATATAAAGGGGATGCTCAAGAACAAGCTTCCTGTAATATTATTTGATGAAGATTCAATGATGAGAGATTCCCAGTAAGTTAACTTTTGTTTGTGCTACTGGGCAAATCCATAGTCTTTATACAAAAATTTTGACAGATCTAATTCAAGAGTTCGAAGGGGAGCCATGGCGTAACTGGTAAAGTTGCTGCCATGTGACTAGGAGGTCACGGGTTCAAGCCGCGGAAATAGCTTCTTGCAGAAATGCAGAGTAAGGCTGCATACAATAGACTCTTATGGTCCGGCTCTTCCCGGACCCCGCGCATAGCGGGAGCTTAGTGTACGGGTTACCTTTTTTAATTCAAGAGCTCCATTTCATCCTTAAACTTTTGACAAGTTCTTATAACTTTTTTAACTACTTCATATCTTAGTTCAGGACTATAATTTTAGAATATGGACAAAGTAACTAAATGCTGCCAAAAGTTACAGATAAAAGGGTGCCTGGATTCTGATAATGATTTTGCTAATCCATGTGGTTCAAAGATTTGAAGGTGTAAAGTTGTTGTTATGCGACTATGAGGTTACGGGTTCGAGCCGTGAAAACAGCCTCTTGCAGAAATGCAGAGTAAGACTGCGTACAATAGACCCTTGTGGTTCGGCCCTTCCCCGGACCCTGCATATAGTGAGAGCTTAGTGCACCGGACTGCCCTTTTATGTGGTTCAAAGAATTCATTATTTGAACATACTACAATGAGCATTTCAGATTCTAAGGGTGAATTTAAGGCAATATTTTCAATAAAGTACTTACAATTATGAGGTAATTTCTCACAGGTGTTGTGTTTGCTTGGGAGAATTTGAGATCAAAGAAGAGTTACATCAGTTACCTTCTTGTAAACACATTTTCCATGTTGAATGCATACGCCATTGGCTTCGTTCGAATTTCTCGTGTCCTCTCTGTAGATGCCATGTTATTATTTCAAGACAAAATCCGCAACCTCCACAGCAGCCAGCTTCTAATCTTGAACATAACAATCAAGTCAGATTAGATATTGAAGAGGAAAGTGTACAACGCGATAGAACGATTAACACAGCCAATATTAGCAGAGAAGAGCAGCATGTGGTGATAATTGAAGAATTGTCTAGTGCTAGTTCATCCTCTGGCACTGCTGAAAATAGTGAAAGAGATCATGATTCAAATGTAGAAACTCTTGTTATCAGTATTAAGGCCTAATTGTTTTGCTGCATTTCTGGAATTGTATATTTAGAATTGGGAGTTCAGGAATGATAGATTAGCAGAGAAGTTTAGGGGATACCATTTTATACACATCAGAATCTGATTATTAGATGGAACTTTGCAAAATCATGCTTTTATTTACTTCTCAGTAAAAAGAAGGAAAAAAAAGCACACAAAAGTGTTACATATATTATACAGTATAAGATATGGCATTATTGTATGGGTCAAAATCCGCTCCAGAATATTTGAAATAAAATAATACTAAGGAAAGGATTTTCGAGCCGTCGTTGGTCGAGGTGGATCAGGAAGCAGTGAAGCCCATAGCCGAAGAGTCAACATGAGTCGAGGTCGAGGTCGAGGTGCCAATCATGGTCGAGCTCGAGCACCATCAATGAAGTTGTAACGGCTAGTTTTTCAAAATAGCTTATTAAAGGGAATATTCCGTGAATATTCTTTGTATATGTACTATTAGGGTTTTAGTAGGAATGTGTCTCATATGAATAGAAGAAAGAGTGAGAGTAGAGGCACGTGAGATTCAATCGTAAGAACAACACTTTGAAAAAAGATTCATTCTTCACTCAGTATATGACTTCACTTTTCACTATTATTCTCATAAGATCCGAGGAATTCTCAATCATTTGAGGATCCAAGCAAGGTTCTTAACTTATTCATCTTAATTACATGAGTGCCATTATATTGTCAGTTATTGAAAATCATATACACTGCTACTCTTTCTTGAAAGAAAAAGGGCATTTCTTACACAGAATCATTGTTGCCTGATCACGCCCAACTATGCCTTATAAAAAGGACAATGCTGTCGTTGCAAATATAATCCGGTTTACAAGTCCGGAGTCGAATCCCACAGAGAACTAAGGTTTAGCTACAACTGTTCACTATCACCAAGAAGACAAGCTTGAACAATTCCTAACTTATAGATATTAAGATTCTTGTGTTTAACTAATTAACTAACAAATTAAAATAGTAAATTAACAACTAACGATACTGAGGGTTAGAGAAAAGATTAAGGAGGTCTAGAGTTATGATTTCCCCTATTGTCGGAATCCTTCCCGCTATGTCTTCTATAATTTCACCTAAGTATTCTCTACCGATCATGAGCACTCTTATTACCGTAAATCTCTCCCGAGTAATTACGACAATTTACTAGACGCGCTCTCCCGAGCTACGCTAGCTGGCTTTTAATACAGCTCATTTCAGATCGCACCCAAGACTTCGTTATCCCTAATCCCGCCTTTAAACCCTCGGTTATTGATCCCTCATATACTCTGGGAGTGGTGTTGTTCAACAATTACCTAAATATGCACTCTCTCCCGAGTTATGCATACTAAATAGGCACAACTAATTGAGAGCTCTTCAATCAACCAGAATATAAACATAGTTGAACAAATAGAGAAAAGCTATGGCTCAATTATATAAAAACATAACAAGAATTTATCTTACAAAAGGTTCTATCAAAACTCTAGATAACAAATTAGCTATTCATAATAGTATGTAAAACTACAATACTAAAAGTCATAACCAACAATGAAAAATATAGGAAGAGGAAGGAAAAAACTCGTAGAAGAATTCTCCGCCTTGCTCCCAATGTGTTCTTGCCTCCAAGGGTGTTGTCTAACCCTAAAGTAGTGTCTCCTCGCCTCCTTAGGTCTAATTTGTGTCCAAAATATGTCCTCCTCCTGTTCTTGGCTGGCCTCCTTTGTTTAATATAGGGTTTAGGACTTAAAATCCCATGTTTTGAACTTTAGTCCCTGAAATTTTCGCTTCCTGCTGCGGTTTCGCCGCGGTCGCGGTGGAACCGCGGCCAAACATGCCCTCTGATTCTTCAGTTGTCCGCGGCCATCTTCTACCGCGGTTCTGCCGCGATCGCGGAAAAATCGCGATTTTTCACCCTGTTTCGTTTGGAATTTGGAAAAACGTAAAACATGAAAGTTGTAGCCCTTTGAGCTAGCTTTCCAACCATATATTGTGGAGCCCAAATAGAGTTCTGAGCAAAAGGTTATGTCTATTTTACTAGACAGTGCGCAATATGCCTCCTCAAGTCTTCGTTCGTACTTAATTATCAAATTTGACCTCCGAACACGATCCCGGCTTAATTCCTTGAGCTTTTACTCAGACTTCAAAGCTTCAAATCACTTAAATTCATTCCATAACATCTATATAGCTCGGAATCACACCTACAAGGCATAAAACACACAATTAGTGCAAAACACTAGTGATTAAAGCGCAAACTCAATTAAAGTGCAGTAAATTCGAGTGTAATAAGCGACTAAAATATGCAATTATAGCCTATCATCATTGCCCAATACTATTCGACCACCTTTTCTGATTTATAAGATCCGGGGATATTATTCTTAATTAAAATTAACCAATGTTTAACTGAAATTAATTATCTGAACCAAGATTTATGTTTTTGGGTAAAACAATTACATATTACAATTTTTTTGTTTTGTTTTGGTAAGACATATGACAGTCAGTCTTTTTATTTTAAGCGAAAGAAAAAGAATATTGGAAATTGAAATTGGAGAAAAAAATTGTCGGAAAATCAATTTTTCGTTTTGACATAGAACTTCAGTGATGGAAATATTGAATTAATTATTTCGTATTAATATTAGCCCTGGAATCAATAAATCCAATATGAGGCAGATCTTTCTAGAATGAGTCGGTTAATTTACGAAAATCTCCAAAATATAGGTAGACCTTGTTGAATAATTTAAAATAGTAATTCATGTCTAACTAGTATTTGTAGCCAAATTCAATTTTCTAAGTCTAGTCGAAGTAGGTTTTACACTATTATAAATATAGGTGCTTGTACCTATTTTCTAATAAAAATTCATATTTTATTCCTACAAAAACATGGACAACAAGGGCAAGACAAAACTGGATGAAGAAACAGATTCAGAAAAAAAGGAATCAAATAAACCACCAAATAGCTGGTTCGAATTAAGAATCAATACTCATGTCTATATTACAGGATTACCAGAAGATGTAACTGTTGAAGAAATAATTGAAGTTTTTATAAAGGAAGATCCAGTAACACAAAACCCTAGAGTGAAGATTTATTTCGACAAAGAAACTGGAAAAAAGAAAGGCGATGCGCTCGTTACGTATCTTAAAGAGCCTTCAGTTGATTTAGCCATTAAAATTTTAGATGGTACGCCTTTACGGCTAGGTGAAAAAATTCCAATGAAAGTTGCGCGAGCAGAGTTTAAGCAGAAAGGGGAAAAGTTCGTACCAAAGGAAATTGATAAGAATAAGAAGAAGAAATTACAAAAAGTTGAACAGAGGATGCTTAGCTGGAGTGGTCGTGATGATACAGGGATACTGATTTCAGCTACTGTTGTGCTTCGTTATATGTTTGCGCCTGTTGAATTGAAAGAGGATGAGAATTTATGTTCTGAGATAAAGGAAGACGTTCGAGAGGAATGTTTAAAGTTTGGTCCCGTGGGATTAGTCAAGGTGTGCGAAAATCACCCACACGGTGTTGTTTTGGTTAAATTTAAGGATCGAAGGGATGCTCATAGGTGTATTCACTACAACATTTTAGGCCTACAATCACTCTGAGAAGTGTGGTCTAAGATGCCAAGAAGTGTAGCATTTGGGCAAAGGCAACACTTTACGGCTTTAGGCAACGCTTTTTGGGGTGGCCTAAAGTACCGTAACCTTTGACTATTGGCCACGCTTTGTAGGTGTTGCCTTAGAAGCCACGTTTTGAAAGTGTGGCTGATACGGTACAAAGGCCACACTTATATTTTCTCTTATAGCCACGCTTTTATGACATAAGGCTACACTTATGAAGCGTGATCTTTGTCACGTTATAGGCTACGCTTACAAAGTGTGGCTTCTAGAGCAACATGACAATCCCTATGGCCACCCTTTTTAAGCGTGGCAGTTTTGTCTACACTACAAAGTTATTTTTCAAATACTTATATTAGCCACAATTTTGTGGTTAAAAAACTATATTTGTTTGCATCAAATTCTGTTCTCACACACATATATATATCAAGCATTAAATTAGATAATAAGTAAATAGAATAAAAATAATTCAAATGCATATACTTAAAATAAATTTCAACAAAGAAACATACTTTGTGTACTGTCTATAGTAATAAAGCACTGTTGGTTCAAGAGTTCACTAGCAAAGACCTCTACAAAACCAAATGTATTCATATTTATAGAATCAATCAAAATAAACATCCCAATTGTTCAAAAGGTCTTCACCATTCACTTTAATGAATCAAATTGATTTGTGACCACCATATCGAATTGCATCACCCGTATTTTCTTACACATTCAAAATGAAATTAAAAATTAGGAAGAAACATATATATACTATACACTGGTTAGAAAGCATGATTTTGTAAGTTAAGATTGAGGTAGTTTTTGGAATTGGGAAATATAAATAGCTTTTCAAGACTGGGCGTGAGTTGAGCCAGAAGAATGTGGCAGATTTTGACCTCTCATAGCTCGTGCACTACTTGCATCAACCGGTGAAGGAATATTAGATCCAACACACCCTTGTATATCATTAAAATCCAATCCAGGATTGTTTTTCACCAATTGACTAAAAAAAATATTGCATTTCTTCTCTCATAATTTCCTTCAGAGAAGTTATTTCATTGGCATGCTTTTGTTTAAGCTTGGTGATTTCTTCATCTTTTTTCAGAGAGCTTGTCGTCACCGATCTACCATAGCATCTAACCTGACCAGGCTACTCCTTTCCAAATACAACCCTAAATGCATCATCTGTTGTTTCTCCGGAACTTTGACGATTCTGAAGTTCAGACTGTCAAGAAAATATTATTGCACATCACTTACAAATCAAGATAGAACAAACACTAAAATAACTTTCAACAAGTCAAGTTAGATTAAAAAAAAGTTGGTGCATTACCATTCTGTAAACAATTTGGTAATCTGCATCGTAGAATCAGAGATAATATTGTGACGTACATACCTTTTTTTATAAGCATAATATTGTAACGTGCTTGCAATCTCAACAAGGATTTTTGAAAACGAAGTATATATACAAAGTATCATTTGGTCCGAGGTTATTCTCTGGCAGACTGGCACACACTAGAGAGAGAATATCAACATATATAAGTTGAACAAGAACTTACATGTCAATGGAAATTGAACCTAATTAATGTGTTAGCAATGTGGCAAACTGTTATCCACCCATTACAAGTTTACAACTCAAAAATCAAGTTTGTTTACTGGTAATTACTAGAGAGAACTTAATGAAAAGCAGACCACAAAATTTAGCCAAAAAGCCTACTATATCTAGGCCTTTAATTTTATGATTTGATGAGGTTCTAATGTCATTATGTGGTGTTCCATCATATCAAAAATATAACAAACCTCGATATAGAATGTATCACACAGTCATTTCATCTTAGAATCAGTGTCTTGTTAGCCCCAAGCAGTCTTTGATTCCCATCTCCACAAGAACTGGCATTGATGCAGCCATGTGTGAAAGAAAATAAAAGACTCGTAAAAGTCCTTGAAATGAACAACACGTACAAACTTTGCTTACATTTTACAACCATCTCATCAATGCCTGGAGAATATATATCAATGCTAAAAGAACAAACATAATCTTAGCTAATTTTGATTCCAACTTTTATATATATATTGCTCAGATATGTATACTTCATCAAAGTATAGTATATTGAGCATAAGAATATGAAATTAGAATATGTATATATATATTATATAATTACTCTTTTTTCAGCATAAGAATAAAATTAGAAAAAAAAAGAGTTAAATACTTGAGTACAAACAAAGACTTTACAAATGCTAGATAAAATGGTGCATCACCAGTAGATCCGAGTTGTATGAAAACCTACTGGTGACACACCATTTTATCTAGCATTTGTGTTCAAATATTGGAACAAGCTAAATCGTCCAAACTACCATGTAAGATCCATCTATCTTTTCTCTGATGCATTTGTTCAAGCCCACTTTCTTTCTTTTTTCCTCCTCTTTTTCTAGCTTATTCTTTTCTTTATTTTTGCTTTCTTTTTTATACCTTTCACAGATTCATAGAAGAATTTCATATATTTTCACAACTACATATGGATCCGCGTGTGTTTGACTTACAAATTTACCTAGAAATTATACGAAAAATAAAGATTATTTTTTCTGAGGGCCATCGGACTGGGTAAAACCTGAATTAACCGTGGTGCACTTGCGGGAAACTCCTTGCCGAGGGCCTGTGCACCCCCGGGGATTAGTCGGGGCTCTTAGAGACTCGGACACCCGGTGCAAATCAAAAAAAAAAAAAACGGAGGCAAAATCTCCATTCCTATCATTTCTTTGGTAGTTCATCTTTGATCAGAGTAATTATGATAAAGTTCATTGTTTTTTCTTCACTCAACTCTTTTCTGGGGTCTGATAGTCTCTCCACCATATCTTTTTGGATGATTTCCAGTGAAATCTCCCTCGTCTACAAATTACAGATATACAGAAGAGCAGAAAATTTATTAGTCTGATTTGTCCAATTGCACTCCACGTAACTCCAGTGAAAAATGTGTTTTTAGTTCAAACTTAACTGGTTATGCTATCTTCACATTTGGCTATTATTCCTTTTGAATGTGCTGTTCTTTGCTAATAGGAGAAAAACAACAGCCCTAAATTAAATTGAATATTATAATTACCTATATGCTTACTGTGTATCAGCTTATGTACTAGTTGAATATGGTCAATCTTGTTCTAATGGATTGAGAATTGCTTCAGAAGAAGTTTTTCTTTTAGGAGTAATGTTTATCTAGTGGAAGACGAAGAACAAACTGAGCAAGATGAAGAACATGAACCACAACATTAAAAAGAAAAGGGATCAGACACAATTAACCAAAATACGACACCTTTTGGAAGACGAAAATCCATAAAAATAAATAAATATTTACATTAGCCTACAAATTATAGGAATCTGATGACATGATTCACTAAGTTTGACTTGTAGCATTAAGCATTAGAATGTTCAGGACAGTCGTCATAGTTGAGAAGCAAGGAGTACATAAATAATTCAGGCATGCAGTCTTTGCAACATCCTATCAACTAACATGCAGTTAAATGTCTCGGCAAGTCACAAACATTTGCAGCTCAGAAGGAAAGAACACACACCAATAAACAAGAAAGGCATTCAAGAGGAGTGTTTTTCTAAATTAAAAAGTCATTCACGGACCAGAGGACATTTTATTTGAAGAATTTTCTCAACCAGAACAACTTATTTTATAAAAAAAATATAAGAAAATCTATTATTGAGCATCTTTAACAACGTTCTAACAGTTTTCCACCATTATATTTTGGTGAAACAATTTGCATCCATAAATAACTACAAATTATGAACTCTTGACTCTAAAGATAATCATTTTACATGAATATTTTAGCTCATTTTGACAATCAAATTGCTCAGAGGGTCAATCACTAAATAAAACCTTCAAATATGAAGTCTCACCACAAAGATAATGAGCAAGCCAAAAAATCATGTCAACCATGCTTATTTGGCCAAAGTAACTCTAGATCTGTTTCACAAAATTCTCGCACAATAATTCAAGTAAAACGTAAAACAAAGTGGTTGTACAACTGAAATTAAGTCAAAATAACCACAAAATTCAGAAGAAATTTCAAAATATTTTTAAATCACAAACTCAAGCTAAATAACGCCCTACTTGTGAAACTTTTCAGCATAATTAGATCGAATCCAAATCACAGTAAACGTATACATTGCAAAAACCGATTAAAGCTTTGACACCCAAAATCAAACAAAACGATAACTTATTTTTCAACTCAAGAATATAAAACAAGGATAAAACTAAAAACTTTGATAGCCAAAAATTAAACAAAAAAATTACTTATTTAAGCCCTATAATCTGAAATTGAAAAAATTAAAAATTTTGAGTATAAAATAAAGACTATACAAAGATACCTAGTAATATTGAAAAAAAAAAGAATTCATTGATATCGGCCCCAAAATTCACTTCTATCGGCCCAAAAAAAAATTCAGTAAGAAGCTAGACAAATTAAAACTTTAAATATAAGAAGGAACATCATTCAAAGATACCAAAAATCAAATAGAAAAGATTACTCTTTTTCAACCCAGGAATCTGAAATTTGTAAAAAACTAAAACTTTGATACCCAAAAATAAAACAAAACAAAATTACTTCTTTTCAGCCCAAGAATCTGAAATTAGAAAAAAGTTAAAAACATTGAGTATAATATGAAGACTATACCAACATACCCAGGTATATACATAATAGAAGATTATTTTTCCATCAGAAATTGAAAAAAAAGGGAGAAATCTTTGAGTAAAAGAAACGATGGAGATTCGCTAGAGTACTGTCTGGAAGAAGCAGCAAGGCGAAAACGAAGCAACAAAGTTAGTTTATGCGATTTGTTGGGAGTCAACAAGCTAGGCGGAAAGGAAGTAATAGAAAAGAATTGGGAAAGGGTTTGATATGCTGTAGTATTCTTGGAGATTGTGATAGCTTTGCCTTTTGAGTATTGGGAGGGAAATATTTTCATTAACCGTATATTTGGGCGGAAATTTTGAGAGAAATATTTTTATAATAAAGTTTTAGGTTACGCTTGTAAAGTATTACATTTTGTATTAGAATTTAACAACTCTTCAAAAATGTTGTATTATAATTAATAAGTGTTGCCAAATAATTTATAATTGGCAACACTTAAGAAGTGTTATCTTTATATTATAAGAGCACGCTTTTTAAGTGTGGCCTTAAAAATCGTGGCCAAAGACTCAAGTCAAAGACCACGCTTTATAAGCGTATCTATAGCTAATTTTGGCAACACTTTTCGAGTGTTGTCTATAATTAGTGTGGCTATAGGCCAAAAATGTTATAGTGATTGAAGCGATGAACGGACGATGGTTTGCTGGTAGGCAAATTCATGCTAGTGAAGATGATGGAAGTGTTAATCATGCTTTAGTTCGAGATTTAGATGAAGAAACTGATAGATTGGAGAAGTTTGGAGCTGAACTTGAAGCTAGTTCATCCACAGTGGCTGATCCAGAATTTTGTGCAGACGACAGCACAATGACGGACCCAGAATTTTGTGTAGACGACAGCAACAACCACTAGTAAGAGTAACAATCAAACTCTTTTTTTTGTGTTCATAGCAGGGCCTCAAAACAACATCATTTTGAACTTTTTTTTCTTTCTAGAATGATTATCTGCTATAACATAGTTCACATTTTACAAGCAATATATGAAAGAATGTAGCAAACGTAAATTGCTTGCTTGTTTAACAAAACACTATAAACTAACTAAACAATAAACCAGTTAAAAACTAAATAAAATTTTGGTTCATAATTATAGGTCCGCCTCTGTTCATAGATGTGCTTTTCCATGTGGAAATAGTAGCAACACCAATTTTTGCTTGCTATTCAATCGATATGTCTATGCACTTTTTGAATAGAAATCCGTTTTCTCAAAGATTCTGATTTTCGTACTTTGCCAGGTTTTTGACATCTCGCAAAAAGAGCTCATCTTGTGGCATGCCAACTAGATGCAAAACCTATTTACGCATTAATTAGAGAAACTAGCAAATATCATTCCTCGAACAGTTTAGGTTTTCTACTACAACTTTAAATTATTCTTCAACATAGCTGATTCAAATACGGTAGAATATAAAGAAATACAACAATCTGCATTCTATGAGATCTCCATGATCCTTTCATTTCTGAAATATAAACTAAATCTACTATTTGCTTCGTCAACTAAACCTAATTAATAAGAATACAAGAACACTAATTATTTGTAGATACTCTATTGCTAAGCTAGTGAATACAATCATCAAAAATCCAAAGTAAACAACAACAACAATAACAACAAACATAGTATAATCTCATAAGTAGAGTCTGGGAGGTAGTGTATACGCATACTTTATCCTTACCTAGAAAATAGAGGTTGTTTCCAATAGTTCCTCGGCTCAAAGGTCCAAAGGGAAAAAAAGCAGAAAAAACTTATTTGTTGTTATACACTTCTTAAAAGAAAAGCAAATGCTATATAGAGAATACCAACAAGAAATGTGGAGATGATAGTGACCTTTGTAGGCATTCTTCCTTTATCAGCTCTCAAAACCATAGCTTCATAAATTGGCAAACAATTTATTACTACAAAACCAGCAATAAACATTTGGATAAAGAGACCATCCAAGCTTTGATCACCCTTGAAAATATCTGCTAATGCTTTGAGGAATGCTACTAAATTGATTATTGCTGCTGTTGCTAACATAACGAACATAGGTGAAACAACCCCAAACTCGAAAATTCCTTGATGGTACCTTTTACCTTGGTCATCATCTACTACTTTGCTTGTCAAACTGAACCCTTGTGTAGCCATGCCTAAGTGTTTAGTTACATACTCAATAGTTCCAAATAGAAAAGATGTTAATCCCCTTATCATCCATATTCTTTGGTCATTCCACCACCTTTTCCATGTCCCTTGAGCGGACATAAAAACCAAGCAATCTTGTCCGTATGCTCCAAGAAATAGAAAAACGTACAAGAAAAACCATGGATCTGAAACCTGAGGCCAAAGTTTTAAAACAAATGTGATTTTAGATAATCATATGTTATATCTATAAGCAGTGGCGGAGGCAGGATTTTCGCTAAGTGTATTCAAAAAAGAAAAAAGTTAAAAACCTCTAAGTGTGTCCAAAAAAAGAAAAAAGTTAAAAAATAAAAAAGGACTGTGGCTAGTAGGAATCGAACTAGTGGCCTCAGAAAGATTTGAACCCCCTTGACCATTGAGCTATGCTTTCAGGCTATGTCAAGGGGATTCAAAATATAATTAATATATAGAGGTATAAAATAGATTTTACCTTATATACACAGTGTAATTCTTCGGCGAAGGGGGTTTCCGCCCCTCTAAATCCGCCCATGTCTATAAGGAACAACAACTACAACAAACAACAATATATCTGGTGTAGGCCCACAAGTGGGGTTTCGGGAGTGTAGAGTGTGCGCAAACCATACCCCCGCCTTTAAGAAGGCAAAGAGGCTCTGTTTTAGGTAGACCCTCGGCTAGGGCAATAACAAGCAAACCAATCTGACAACCGAGGCGAAAATACAAAACTAACACTAAAGAATGCAATCAAAAAATCAAAACAAAGGCAGCAACAAGTAATAACAGAAGTATAGGGATACGAAAGACACTAAGTAATGTATCAAGAGCTAATTTTACTAATCACTATGTGGTTTTGCTTGCAATATTTTGTACATAACTTAAATTGGTGCATACCTTTGGAAAGATGGGAACCCCATTGAGGAGAGTAAGTTGAGGAATGAAGGCATATAGAGAAATTGGTATTGACCAAATGGGCCAAAATGCATAGTGAGCATAACAATGGGCCATAACAAAGCCCATGGACCGAACTCCGAAAGTTAATGGGCTATATTTTGAGAAACCAACTTCAAGTAGGCCCACAGACCACCTCTTGTTTTGGCTGACCACATCATGGAGAGAAATAGGTACATCTCCTAAAAATGCAGGCCTTTCAGGATTGCAAAACACTGATTTCCAACCTTCACATTGAAGTCTATAACCTGTGTAGTAATCCTCCACTAGTGATCCATACCTAAAGCCCATCTGCATAAATTTGAGAGAAATGTATACTTTTAGCTGCTCTAAAAAATAATAGCCGATATATGTATATTATATACATATTTTATATACTTTTTGGCTAGTAAATGCAATTAATTTCAGTCGATCGGCCGATTTTATATTTTGACCTAATTTTGGAATATGTCGGTTTGTCGCCAGGAGATTTAAAAATATATAACATATATGACAAGTTCGAATGATTGCCACGAAAATATTGTTGTTGCAGTTATACTCCACATTCACTGACTTGTGCTCTTGTTGCTTGCTCTAGCAACTTTTTTCGTGGCAACAAGATCTTACATATGGCAAGTTCGAATTGATAGAGTTGGTTCGAACTTGCCATATATATAT